GTGATGTGATTAATTACATACCTCAGGGTTCAATACTAAATATCAATTTAATACGCAATAAATGATAAGATGGCGTGGTGCAAACAGCTGCCCTTTATCCCACATAGTCCATAGTGCTTTACCATAAAAAATGGACAGGTAAAATATCTTTTAAACTGGGGTTTCCCTTTACAATTACCTGATCGATGATGCCAAGAGTCATCCTGTGTCCCGATGAGACACTGATGCTAAATACAACGCAAAATGAAAGTTATCACCTGATGGAGTTACCACGTGTTCAAATGTTACCATATAACCTATGACACAAGTTCTGACTTTACTGGTTGGTCGGTATCTAGGCTGATGCCATCTTACTATGAATCATACTGTTTACACGTCATTCTCCATATAGCAATATCCAACATGTTAAAATATTGAACTGACAAGCACATGGCAACAGCTTGAGCTATTTCTAAACTTTAATGCAACAGACATTGTGACATGGCCGATCATTATCTTATACATTGAATTTCTACGCTGATAAAGTTTATAATGACAATATTAACAGCCCTATGACTATTGCTAATAATATGCAAAAAAGACTCATGCAAATTCAAGAGGGGGAACTCATGCAAATGCAAGACGGGGAATTTATGTTAAACAAATTTTTTTGGTACAATATGATTGGATTTGGTTATAGAAAAAAAAGCCTGGAATGTCACTGATAATTAACAGAGGTGGTGGTGGTTGTGTTGGTGGTTTAACCCTCTGCATCAAGGCTCTAAGCAATTTTAAATTAACCATCTGGAGCACTGTTTAGCCACTGCATCATTCCTGGGCAGGCTGTCAAGCAGATTAGCAGAACTAGTGCCTTCACTTTGCATAACTGTACATCCAGAGCAGAGGTACAGTGTGAATGAACATAGAAAGGATTTTATGATCAATCATAACGAAAGTGACCTGTATTGTCTAGGAATCAAACCTGGGTCGCCCGATTCACAGTCCAACGCGCTAACTATTGAGCTAACTGGACAGTTTGAGCAGAGGTTTATTAAGAGTTTAATGTATAAGACCTCTGCAGGGGGTGTAGCTTTTCTAAATCCATGTGTAGGGCTCTTATAAATCATAATCTACAATGTATACCTGACTTCCTAATCAGTAAAAATAATCTTAACATTTACAGCTGTCAATGTGAACTACATGACTGTCTTAACAAAAAATAAGACCCTACAAATAACCAATTTGAACAAACAAGACCACCCAATAAACATTATAATAATAATATATTACCAATTTAAGGGCAGTAACTCTGAGTGACTACGTGTACAACACATTTTATATTGACTTTTGAGATATATACAATTTGTCAAAGTTTTCTTTCACAATATGCACCTAAAATTTGTCACACTATATGGAAATACTAGGACAAGTTGACTGATACTACAAGAACAAGTTGATTGTCCACAATAACAATGTGTACACATGACATCATGGTGAAATTTCAAAATAAAATGTTTAGAAGAATAACATGAGAAACTAAACAGCTGTCATTTATCTTCTGAAATTCTTTGAATAGTTGAAAGACCTTAAACTTACAACAGATCTGTATTATCATGTTTATACACAACGTTTCAAAATGCACATTTTTATGGTTTGGCCCCACTTAAATGACTATATTACTTTTATTGTTTTCATTTAATTAGATTAAACATATTTATGTAAGCTTGATTTCAAAACAAGTTCATGCAACTTATATTAATCACTTTCTAGTACAATTCCTTGAACCAAGTACTGGTGTCATATAAAGAAACATGGTTGTGACCTGAGAAGTGCACAAACCTGTGTCCCTAGGTTGAGAGACACAACCATCTTAACCACTTGGCCACCTCTCATTCAATTAGAAGAAAAAAGAAAAATAAATTCATCTTTTTGTTTAAAAAATTTATCTTTTTGTTTAAAATTTCCTTTAAAACCCTGTTAAGCCTCCAAAATTGCTATTATTATATTGATATTTTCAAAAGCTTTTTATTTTATTGTCCTATAACAGTTTCCAAACAGTTTTTATTGGCCATATTGCTGGGCCATCTTTTGCATCTTGCCTATATTAGTATACATTGAATTTGTATAGATTAAGTATTGTTTGATTTTATTAACCTGTCAATTCCATACTGATTATACGGTCAATGCACAGAATATATTACTATTCGATAAATGTTCGGTTAATTCCGTGAAATTAAAGCAATAAGATATGATTAAATTCATCTGGTTTTTATGCATTAGTTACACTGACCGTTATAGCGCAATAGGGTAAACTACGGGTATATAATTTCTAAATGTCGTACGTGTTGTAAGATCGAGACAGCGTATGTCCAGACATTTTTTCTAATTTATAACTATTTTCAACATTTTTTAAGTTTGTTCTCTTTGTTTTAATAGGTTTTGCACTTTTTTGTTAATACTATCTTTTTGTATATAACATTGTTAAAGAATTAATATTCAAAATTCATTCGGATTAAGATCAATAAATGTCATTTCAGTGCCGTAAAATACAATACAAAACGTGACAAGTCAGTGTTTCTTAGTTGTTTCATATCTGTGTAGAAAATTCTGAAAGCGCTTGATCATTTTCATTACAATATACTTAAAAATAAAGAAAAAATATGTCTAAAAATAAGTGACGTCTAAAAAAAAGTTAAAAGAACCTTGGACCTCTCATACATAAGGTAATCACTTAACCGACTTTGCTATTGCGGATGTTACGAGAATTTACATTGAGCTAGTGGGAGTTTTCCAAAAGTTAGCTATATACTCCATATTAATTCTCGTAAAATAAACGGACAAAACCGAAGTAGGATCGAATATTTAAATTAGTTTTATAATGTATTCATAATTGACAGGTCAATAAAATCAGACTATATTTTATGAAAGTCAAAATATACTTTTGTTTACATTTTGCTACCTATATCACAAATTATTTCACATTCAGGTGAAAAGTATCTTACAGGTTTTAAATTCACTGTATAGAACATTACACAAATTACTTTTATTGTCAGAACTTAAACAAAAGTGAATGTTATGTTTGGTTTATATTTAACTTTTTAATTTAATGTTTAAATTTGTCCTCCCATAATATGATGCAAAAATAGAAAACTTAATGTGCAGGTAGACTAGTCTTGTGGAAAGGTTAGAAAGTTGAAATAAATTACGTCAACCTTTTCCACACTTAACATTTAGTAATTATTAAATCTGTCATTACTGGCCACATCAGCCTATCATTTATAATAATTTAATCTTTTATCATGCCGTGGATATTAAAAATATAGTACCATAATCTTCTTATTTATGCACCTCAATAAACTATATTTAAACGTCAGTCATATTAATGATAGAAAATGGCCTGAGAAATTAGACGTGGACGAGATGATGCAATCAATGTACAATTTCTATATCCATAAATATTTATGTACACGTTAACTATGAGCTAATCTGATGACATTAGCATTTCAATCATGCCATATTATAAATAACCGTCTGACATGGAAAATACACATTTCTATTTTTAGACACAAAGCATGTTCTAGAAGGTTTAAAAATAGCTATGGGTATTCAGCAAAAAATCTATATTTAAATCTGCTTGTTACTATTTGAAAATCTAAAAAAAGACATTTAACGAAACTACATTGCACAAAATCATCAAGATACATTGCAACAGAAACCATTTCACTATTAACAAAAAAATATCTTTAATTATTAATTAGTTAAAGTGAAATATTTATTAAAATTGTGTTAGGCATATTTTTTTTACAATGTAACATAATTATATGAGTAATATATGATGATGTTTATATGAGAGCAGGAAGATCTTTTATGGTCTAATGTTATTACAGTGTGATGGCCATTAGCACCCAATACTTTGTTGAATAATAATACATAGTAAAACTCATTACTTCATTATAAAACCCAAGCTGGGGTCTAAGAGACCTAAAGAATTATAAGTATTTCTTTCATGCCATAGAAAAGGTAATTGGCATGTAGATTAAAGGCTGATAAAATTATATAAGAAACATGTGTGTTACATTTAGCAAGAACCTGTCTACAGTTAGTTATAACAACTACTAATTAATAATTGCAAACTATTTAGCACCTTCTCTATGCATTAGATAATACAGTACACACACAAGCTGTGAAATCTTTGAAGATCCTACCTAGCCAAAACATCAAAGAAAAACACCTCTATGTAGCAATAAAAAGGTGTATTACAGCTATTTCACATACTGTCTGGGTATGCTAAGGAAAGAATTATTGATAATTTGATACATTTTTACACAAATTATGAAAAAAGTGAACCCTTGGTTACATTTTACAGGGAAATTTCATTTAATCTTAAATATTCTGTAAGGTGACTTCATTTAATGCAGGAGCTTTCCCTGACTTTATACTTCATGGTTTCTACAACTCCAAAGCTCAAAAACTTATATTTAACTCTAAATAAGCAATGGGTGGATCTTTCATATAAGTGCTTTAGATAAGCCATATCATCAATAAAAACAACATTCTGATTCAGATTCAAGAAATATAAACATTTGACAGTTATTTTGGTTTAACCTTGTAGCCTGTTTTAAAGATTTACTTGCTGATTTAGGTATAATTAACCCTCTGTTGGCAACTGAATATACCAATGTGACCAGCACAGACCAAGATCAGCTGGTACAGATAACATCAATATTCAATTAGTTATAAATTTGAATTTTTTTTTTTAATAGTTTTGTTTGTTTTTTTTAATATATTTTATCAGAATAAGGATTAATCTATACAAGGCAACTTCCCTGATCCTTTTTTCTTTGAAAGTCTGTTTTAACTGTTCAATACACTTATTTTTTTTTCTTTTCAAGTATCATACAAGACATATCCTCCATCATTTAGAGAAATCCCTTACCAGTTTATTTATCTCATACAAATTTGTTGAATAAAAAAAGTGAGGTCCAATTTAAGTATACACTTTTAACTTTAAAATTACTTACTGGCTTGTTCTGTCTGTACTTTATATTGATAGTAACTATAATGTTCTCCTCCAAACAAAAAAGAAAATTTTGGATTATCTTGTTGCTTCTGTTTAGTCATGTTTTCAAATTCTGGTCCATTTCTTGCCACAAAGTTTGCCAGTTTGTCAATGATGTTCTTCAACTCAGGCTCTGAAATATATACATTTTTTTTTACCTTTCTAAGCAATTAAAAAGTGGAAAATTTTGGAGTGGTGAACATTAGAAAATTGATTTAAATTTAACAAAATAAGACAATTTTATGGTAGCTGAGGTTTACATTTTTGTTAGCAAGGCTATATTCTCCCATATATCTGGTCAGAAACTTGAAATACAAAATTGGCTGAAACATATTTATTCAAATAAACATTTTACAAGTGAACAATATTTATAAAGTACATTTTGGAATTGGGCAGAAAGCTATAAAGCTTATGAGTGTCCTCTCCTACAAAATTTATAACAGTTCCAAATGTCAGTGATGACGAGTTTATTCATTTTTCAACAAACATGTAGTGCAGGTTAAAGATCCAAGTAACTAAAGAAGATGAATAGGTACGTGAATGCTGCACAATCAAAAGTAATTCCAGCATAAACTCATCTTTGTAATGTAACTTATCTTTTGCAGTAATGCTTTTTAAATCAAGAAATATGCCAAATGTGATAATAAATCGTTAACAACTTATGCACCATAAAATAACATTTTACCTAAATGAAGAAAATATTGTTATTTCAATGTGCATGTAGAACAATGTTTCAGTTCTTCACAGTATATATGGCATAGTATATAAAGTGTTTAGCAAGTCAAAATTGGAAAATTTATTTGTATTATTATTATAATCATCAATATGTAAATGGTGATTGTCATAAAAACCATCGTTATATGCCTGGCAGGAAAAAAGAGTTTATGCAATTGCAATAGGTTCCATTGTGTAATGAATGTTTAATTGCATACTTTATATCTTATATTTATCATAAATTTATATTCATATAATCTTTTATTAATGAAACATCATGAACATTATAGGTATAGGCCACTTCCTACAGCCTTGCTGTTGGGTTAACCTTTTATCAATGTGGTTGAGTGTCCACTTTGTATCAAGAGGTCCCATTTCAGTGCCTGAGGATTTTCAGGTTTACAATTCAATTAATTAATTATGGCACCTTGTGTAAACAACAATGCTGGCTTATATCTATAGTGCTTCATTTGCCAGCATGAAATTCAACTTGCTATCAATTCATCTACATACAGATAGAAAGATGGAACCATGCATTTAGCATTACCCCAACAGGGAACTTTATAGGTAAAATTACAATATTAAGCATGCTGTATCCGATCAAGTACAGTTATTACAATCTGTCAAAATAATTAAGTAGGCAGAAGTGTATAGCACTTGCTGTTGGGTTAAACTTGAACCTGAAGCGACATGGATTAGTGTTAACTATTTGTACTGAGCGACAATATATTGTGCTATTTTTGTGTCTGGGCAATATCTCGCCTCTAAAAAAAGCGAGATTCTGACCCAGCATGAAAATATCTCGGAATCAAGCTTTGGCATGTCAATATATTTTGACTAGGATGAGTGTATGCCTTGTAAACGAAAAGGTCGGTAGGGCTAAACTTTAGAACATGCCTGTTGCTATTTTTAACTGTTGAATTTACCAAATATTACGGGGAAGTCAAAGTTCGGGCCCGCTTTGGCTTGCCCGGCTATAGACTACACGTGTATATTTAAAAGAAAATTCAAATTAAAAAAAAATAAAAAATATATAGAATTCTATACCTATCAATGAAATTTTCAGTGTCAGTTCTAGTTAGGCGCCGCCATTTACAATGTAACTCAATGATAAAAGGCGGTGCATTCCGATTACGAAACAAATCTCAACTTTTCGGATTAATAATAATCGTCGAGTGTTCCGAGTGAAAACGGAAGTGGGTACATATAATACCAAATGACACCTTTAAAACGGAAAAATGAAAGGATTTTTTACTGGCTTCCCCGTTCATAGGCTTTGCCTAATTTCATATTAAAAGTGCTCTGTCTGAAGTTCAAATCCCACTAAATGCCTGAGCTTTACAAAATTTTATTTTACAAAACTCCACTTGCATCAAATTTATGCATGACATGTGGGTGGGGTAAGTAATTTATCATGAATATATGGAAAACCACCCATCACCTGATAATTTTTATAACATAACCGTATAATATACCTTCTGGCGGCTTTGGTAGGTCCATGGCGAACCTTAACTTTGAAATATTAACCTTAACTATTTGAGGCAAAACTAAAATTATCCTGATAGCATGAAAAGTAATATCCGGCAAACGCTTGCAAAATGTTGTTAACCGTTCCAACGACACAGAGTAAATTTCTTTCTTATTATTACAGTTTCTTTTTATTTCAAGAAATGGCAATATATTGATAAGAATGCCTAATTACGATTTATTTGAGATGTTTCGGTCCTCTAAGCATTTATTTAGGGATTTATTTACTTCTTTTTCAAATTGTTTTTAATGTTAGTCTGGTTCTAGTATAAACTTCATTCTATGGTCTACGCTCTAGATGAAGCGAACCCGTCTGTCTTTCTTTATGCCGCAAATACAAAATGGTCTGACGGAAAATTCTATGCGATAATTCAAGGGGCAAATATGAAGCAGGTAATTACGCAAACAGATTTAAATACATTGCATTTCACTCATATATTGTATTTCTACCAAATTACTTATTAGAATAATTGGGAAAGTCGTAGAAAGATGTTGTTACAGAGCGTTTATAAATGACCTATTTCAAGTTGTGATGTAAACAACCGTGGCAGTTAGAGAGGTCATAGGTCATGTAAGAAAATGAGTCAGATATCTGTACACGTAGTTTACATATAAACATCGCCTGACGCAAGCATTATTCAGTGTTGGTATAGAATGTTTAGAAGAAAGATGGGCTTGTAGTACGAATGAAGAAAAAAAGGCTTCGGTCTAATATTATTATATTTTCAAAATCTAAACGGGTGTCACCAACGGAATTAAGCCATTCTATCAACAAAGGATTTGGAAATTATTTAGCTTTTTGAATCAAAATTAAAGAAAAAATCAGTAACAATGTTGGATACATTTGTAAGTATTCTTCCTTTTTCAGATTACCATTTATTATGAAATCTTCTGAAATCATTTGATACTAACTTTTTGATGAAAAAAAGTCTGATTTTAAAGAGATCAACGGCTAAGAATAGAAATGTTCCTGACTCTTGTACAACTTCTTAACAAAAATGAATTAATTCTTATTTTTAAAAAGGTGTAAATTGATGGATTATAGGATTATAATTTAGAGTACAAGTATGCTATCAAGCAAAGCCTTGATTACTTAATTGGTTGCCTTTTAACTAATTCAAATGTTCACACATTTTATGACTCCAGACTTTCTCATTGATAAAAATTGTGCAAGTTTTTTATCACCTTTAATGACTCTATAACTTCTCACTTATAGGCTATATAGGTTGAGCTAATCAATTGTTCACACATTCATCAGACCAGAAAAGAGTTTTTGGCTTTCATATTTGTTACACTATATTTCATACATGTATAAAATAGGAGAGCTAAAAACCACATCATTAGTTTGTTGAAGGGTGCTGGAATAAAATAAGTGTTTCTAAAGATAACATTCAAATGCTTTTTAAATTAAAATAACAACAACAATTATTTAAAATGGGAATTGCCTATGAAATTGTCTATGATGGAGTGAGTAATCAAATTATTTTCTTCTATGTTACAAGTTTTGACTGAAAGTAAAAGGATTATAATACTTTATCAGGAATAAGTAATGTGTCCTAGGATCTTACTGTGCTATCCAGCATTCACAGCAATGTTTGGTAAATTTGTATTTCTAAGTTTATAACAATCTGGAGAAACATAAATTTTGTCCATTATTAGGAAAGAATACAAGTGTTATTGGACCATATTTTAAATGTGAATATTTCTTTTTTCAGGTTGACCAGTCTCCCAGTTTTATTAATAGGTTATCACCGCCTAGACCCACTACGCTCATGATCGATAATGGACAGGAAATGGAAATGGACACTGACTTTAGGGATTGCGAAAATAACCAAATACTCAATCATAACAACTCTAACAAAAACCTTCAAAGAAATAGAAAGAAGAAGAAACGCGCTGCTGACATTCCAGTAAAAAAGTTCAACGGTAAGTTTATAAACATTCAGTATATTATATATTATCAGGAGATAAGCTTTAAGTCTGCAAAGTTTTCATATTGTTTTATTTTTAATTTTGTATGGTATCTCGCATGATTATTTTCATAACACTAGCTGTTTCAATTCACAAATACCGTAATTGCAAGAATTGCAGTTTTCAGGTTTTGAAAACTTGTGCATGTTTAACTTACATGAAATGGGAACCCAAACAAATGTTCTATAAATTTATTAATAAGAATTTTGTTTGCGCAGCATGTTTCCAGATACATTTTCATGAAAGTTTTGAAAATGTATTTTAAAGTAAAATTTTTTGAAGTGAAAACAAAGAAAGTAATTAACCCACTGCAATTAGCACTTACAATCCACATATATTACCAGAAAAAGTCAAAATATGCAAAATAATAATAATAAGCACATAACATTTTAATCATTATTTTAATTTTGAAACTCATATGAGGATAAAATATCAAATGAAAGAATGAATTATTACAAAATATTCAGAAAATAGTAACTTCTAATTTTAGAATGAAAAGATCTTCACAAACAACTGAACTATGAACTATACTAGGTCGTCTTGACTTACAAGTCTGGAAAGTTAAGGAAAGAATAACTTCAAATAAATAATTAAAAACAGAAAATTGGCAACAATTGTTGAATAGTCAAAAATGTTTTGAAATATTATTGCTTTTTTTTATAATCATAATAGAATTGAAGAATTATTACATGTTTGCCTTGAAATCTGGATATAAATAGTTTGGACAGCCAATACTTTAAATTGCTGGGGTTTTATTTGCTGTCTTCTATGTGTTCATCAGAGTATCTTTAAGATCAATAACAAAGTATGGTCACATGACATTTTGTATTCTGTATGACCCCATTCTACTTGGCCAGGAGCCAGTAACAACAAGCTAATTACTGCCCGACTTTGTTATAAATTTCCAATAGTCGTTCATAATTCCAGAAGTTTCTCTTCCTACTTATTAGTTTTAAGTCTTACACTGGCATGTAAACTTGTATTTTTAAGTTGAATAATACACAATGCATTTCATTTGTTCATGGTTTTTGCTATGTTTATAAATAAAACTGAAACTTGGGGGAATTTACCAGTATTGGTGAAATGGTTGAATAATGCCTTGCTCCGATTGGTTACTTAGTGGGTCGATAATGCATAAGGCAGGAGAGTAAATATTTTCATCCTGGCTCTGTTATCAATGAAATGTTTACTGATTAGACAGAGTGAATATAGGGTAAAAAGGCAGATTTTGGTATCCCTTCTGTTTTTCAGTTTCATTTCCTTTAACTTAACATTTAATGGCTTTCTTGTTTTTATTGGTGAATTTTAAAATAAAGCAGCAGAGCATGAAATGAATGCTACTGAATATTAAATCTTGGTCATGATCTGAATTTTTAACATTATGTAAATACTGTTTATCATTCAATTCTAATTCAAGCTCAAATTTTACAGTTCGCTAAAGTTTGTCTGCCAATAGAATTGCTCTATTTTGTTTAAATTTTGTCGAAATATTTACCATATAGTGCTGTAACTTAACTGTATGTATTTATATGTTAAATGAGCCGATTTAATGGACCCGCCTATTTACATAATGCACTCGATTTGAATGGGCTGGGCTAACTGTAAGTCGGTTATAGGTTATTACAAAGTTTTAAGAAACTAATTTTCTTGCTTCACTTTGTTCGCTCTGAAAACTAATTTTTTGAAAACCTATATGTAGCAAGTCAAATAAAGTTGGCAAAATTTTATAATAAAATGTAACTTGGGATGGGTTTTTTGTGAGAGGAAATAATTTGCGCAGTTAGTTAGTACAGATGTAAATTTGTTGAACCTCTGCCAGTATTTTCAGAAATGTTACTGGAATTGCATGTATTAATAGGATGTTTGCCTCGTGTGAAGCAGTTTCTTTCATTTAGACTTGATCTTGGCACGCTTTTCACATTCTGACTCACACACCTAGTTTCTTTGTGTCTTTCCTAGAAATAGCTTTTCACATGCAGATGTTCTCTGTATAGAATCAGGATAAAAAAAACGGATGGAGTTCTTGCGTCAGAATGTGCTGCTTTCATCCTTTATGTTATTCTGTCTGCAGAGTTATCTCAAAAACTTGGGAAGACTGTTTAATAAAAAAATTTAAAAAACGATAAATTGTTATAGAAAATATTTCTATATATTTTTTCATTTAGAGTTTAAGATCTAATTCAGGTCAAATTTCATTCAGAAATAATGCTGAAATCATCATTGCTCTTTCTGTTCAGATTTAGTCTGAGATAAGTTCAGTAAGTTAAACTGGCTGATTTGTTTAAGATTTTCTTACAAGACTTGTCTGTATCTATTTTCAGACCTATATGAACCTACAGGTGAAATATTGGGAAATGGTGCTTATGCCTCAGTACAAACATACAGAAACCTTGAAAACCAAACAGAATATGCTGTAAAGGTAGGCTGTGAATTGATTACTTTGATTTTTTTTTTATTATCAAATTTCGGAAATGTAGGTTATCTGGAAAATATAAATCTAGATGGGTAGACTGATAGCAGTATTTTGCACAGTATATAGTATGTAGAGATTGTTGTTTTACAATATGATAAAATAGGCAAGTCCGAAAAGTTAAATGCATGGATGGGACTTAAAGGCTACAAAGAAATTATATGCAATAATATCACCTTACCCTGGAGGAAAAATGTTCACTTATATGCATATGTACATTTTTCTTTGTGAAGTTTGTTTAACTGCTCATAAATTACAAAGTTGTGATTACAAATTGCCCTGCAGGTTACAGTTTGATGTAAGTTTACCGGCATGTATAGTAAAGGTATTGATAACATTTAACTTAGTTGTATAATATTACAGAGAGTCCCATTGCTGAGCAGGTAAAAATTTATTAAACACAGCTGCATATCATATGACTCCTGCCTGGCCAAGTGTACAAAGCCATTTTCTTTGTTCAGCATTTGCTGTTTACAACACTCAGTACTCTCTGCTTGACTGACTTCAAAATAAATAGCTTAAGTTTATAAACAGGTGAAGGTCGAGATTAAGAGGTGTTTGCTTAGTGTGACGGGGAGAGAGATAAACACTTTAATCTGATTGGAGCATTTTTAAACTGAATTATCGGACTGTAAAATGTTTAAACATAGTCCGTTTTGCAACTAAGCTGGAACAAACTGAATTTCAATATGTAATTTGTAAATGACCTGCTTTTAAAAACTGCCAAATGGGAGTCCTAAAATAACTTAATAATAATAAGTGCATGAAAGTTTGGCACAGGTTTGCTGTAAACTTTGACATTTGTTACACAAAATATTATATACTTGTATAAATCATTAAAGCTTAAAGATCCTGAACAAAGAAAATTACTGTTATTTTAAGAAAGTTGTGTATTGCAGGGTTTTTGTTATTAGCAAGTGTATCATATGACATGTCAGACACATTGCCTCCAGGGCGTTGTTGATGAACTTGCCTTATTAATGTCATCTAATTAAGCTGCATACATCTTAACATTAGAACGGGGAATTTTTTAGATGCCAGATGCAGTTGATAACAGAAAACTGACTGGTCTCTTTGTTTTGTTTTTGTTGTTTTTTTTTTGGTGGGGGTGCAATAATTTTTCATGCATTAAATCTGTTTGGTCATGCAAAAGAAAAATGCACAAACTATTGTTTGTGCATTCAAGTTTTGGTAAAAAAGTTGGGATAAAATAACCAAGGAATAATATGATTTAAACGAGAGGTTAACTCTCTTTTAAAAATATTTTTTATTGGATTGCAGCCAGAATTCTTGGCCTTGATATTTTCAAACAAAGCTGATACTGCCCACTTGATCTATTATTGTACTGAACCCTCATTAAATTTTGTTTGAACAATATGGTTATATGTATCCATTAAGATAATAGATAATATAAACAGGGTTTATCAAAGTACAAGATCAGACTACAGTAGAGATAACTGATATAATTGTTTTGTGATTGGTAAGCATTATAGGCAGATAGAATATGTAATATCTGAACCGAACAGTTAACACAGTGCATGTCATTGTCCTCTTGCAGTATCAAGTAAATACATAATAATATTACTGCCCAGGTTGATAGATTGATTGGTCGTATCTGACAAGATATGCTGACATGGTCATTCAATATAAAATAATCAAACATAAATGTCATTTAATATCTGTAACCTGCAAAATATTTGGCATCAGCAATTTTTCCTCTTGCGTCACTAAGATTTAAAAAAAAGAAAAATTAGGAACAACTAAGTATTTTCCTCTATTGTGAAAACTTTTTGATGTTTAACTAATACTGGCTCCCAGGACTTGTCATTGTAACAATTTCAAGATGGTTGACATAAGATGATAAATGGAGAGACAGAAAGAGAGAGAAGGGGAATAAAAAGCAAAACAGTGCAAATCACAAAGAGATAAACGTTTTGCCTTGCAGCAAATGTGTTCATGCATATAGCTTTAGTTTCTCAAGTTTTAACGCGTAAACCGTTTAAATACATTTTGTGCGTGTCTCACTCTGCCTTTATCAAATCTGTAAAGTTCAAAACGGAGCGCAATGAGATTTTTAATATGCCTTATCATTTATTTAACAAAAAATATCTAAGAAAATATTTATTTGTATACTTGCAGATTATTGAAAAAGATAATGTCCGTTCGCGTAGCAAGGTGTTTAAAGAAATTGAGATCTTCCATGTTTGTCGAGGGGAGGACAGCATCCTTCAGATGTTTGAGTATTTCGAGGAGGAAGAAAGATTCTATCTAGTCTTTGAGAAGATGCCTGGTGGAACATTACTCGCCAATATTGAACAGAGGGGCCATCTCTCAGAGCTGGAGGCTAGCCAGATTGTCAAGTGTATCGCACAAGCTCTTGACTTCCTCCACAGCAAAGGTACATATAATTTTCACAGTAGTCAAAAGAATATTGTGTAATTGTCATAGTTAATAGTTATTATTTCTCTAAAACTGAATATTTTATGCTATTAATATAAATAATACATAAATGTGAAAAAAAAATCTTATGTAGTTGTTTTTTGTTTGTTTTTATTTTAATCAAATATCATCTTTTATTTTGCAGGAATTGCTCACCGGGATCTCAAACCTGAAAACATTCTGTGCGAGAAGTGGGATGAAGTTGTACCAATTCGTATCTGTGATTTTGACTTAGCAAGTGGCATTCCAATCAGCAATGAGAAGGATTCTTGTAAAACCCCAGAGCTTCTAACACCAGTTGGTTCAGCTGAATATATGGCACCAGAGGTTGTAGATGCCTGGGTGGGCGAGTCATTCTCTTACGACAAAAAATGTGATTTGTGGAGTCTTGGAACTATCTTGTAAGTATAGTTTTGTTACCAATAGCTTTTAATTTATGCACCTTTTCAAATGAATTTAAGACTTAATATTTGATATACATGAAAATATATTGAACACAGAATTTCAGCAATTCTATCAAGAAAACTTTGTTTTCAATAAATTCTTAATTTTTGACAGGTACATCATGTTGTGTGGCTATCCCCCTTTCTATGGACAATGTGGATCAGATTGTGGTTGGGAACGTGGTGAAATGTGCTCCAACTGTCAGGAGATGCTCTTCACTACTATACAGGAAGGCATATACGAGTTCCCTGAAGAGGAATGGAGTTCTGTTACCGAGGAGGCTAAGGATCTCATCCGTAACTTGCTTGTTCGAGAACCAAGCAAGCGTTTCTCTGCTGCCCAGGTGCTGAAACATCCTTGGATCACTAACCCACCAGAGGCCACTCCACTAGCCACTCCAAGAATTCTTACAAGGTACTGTATTTCACATCCAGTTTGTGGCAGAAATAATACAGGGATACTTTATATGTAATAGAATCTAAAAGGCTATGGTATTGGTTTTTCTCTGCCTGCCTGGCATTATTGATTTAAACAAACATTTTATCCAGCTTCTAGCTGCCCCAGTTGAGAGCAGTGTTACAGTAATATTCACCCTTCCCTTCTATCTGTCATTTATATTGATATCTGTTTGAGAGTATGAAAATTCAGATAAATAAATAACAACTTGTTTTGCTATTTCAGGAACAATAGTACAAAAGATCTAGAGTCATTTGCTGATGCAGCCATTTCTATAAATCGTATGATGCAGCAACATCTTATTCTTTCTGAACCGCCAAAGTTTTATATCAGGGAAGAGATGGATGCATTTGACGAAGGTTTGGAGAGCGATGAAATCCAAAACGACGAACTTGATGATGGTTTTGATGGTCCAATGTTTCGACTTTCACCTCCATGCTCTAGCCTTGCCATGCGCAGGCAACCGCTTGAGGCGCGTATCAGCATTGGATCATCGGGATTTGAAAGCGGCAGCTCTTTGCCTAATTCACAGTCATCATCACATGGAATAATGTTCTAAACAACTATGATATATATATATATATTTGAAAGGGAAACATGACCTTTATGAACTTTGTTCCACATATCTTGTCATTCATCTCATTACACATTCTCATTTAACGTCATACCTCAAATATAAAAAAAAAACTACTTTGAAAAAAAACTGCAGTACGTCATACAAAAATGCTGAGGAAGAAAGAATTTCATTGGTCATGAAGTGGCATCTTCATTATTGATGTAATTTTGTGCAGTATTTTTGTGGCAGGCTTACAGGGCAGTATAAGCTCAAGGAACTCCAGTCCGACACAGCTAGTGAACGGAACTGAACAGTGTGCTAAGGACAAAGTGTTGAACAAAACTTGTGCTACCAAAAACGTTCAAGGATCCATTGGCAATGTGATTTGTCATCAGTTAGTGCCTAAGGATGGAGAAAAAAGATGGAGAAAACTGGTGCAGTTTTTTATTAAATGTTTGTTTTAAACATGCGCTGTCAAAACAGTGTTGATAATACGAAAAGTCTTTCAGAATGCCTTAAATATTGAAGCATCTTAGGGGAAAGTAAAGTGTACGAATGTAACTGTGATACCTATAGAGTTGACCATATTCTAGCATTCATACGCTCATTGTCACATTACAGAGATTTTCTCATTCATTTTCACATGACTTAGCTATTTTTTTCGACTTTTTTAACTAAATAAGCCAAAACAGTGCAGAAGATCAAGAAAAGACAACATAAAAAATCACTTGCCATTAAAACATTTATTTTTTAAGGGTTAATAAAGGTATTACAGTTATATTTTTTGACCACTTGAATATAGTGAGAGTCTTAAAGTGGATAATGTTGATGATCATGCAATAAAATGGGTCGTTCCAAGATTTGTCATCAACTGGTAAAGCTATTCTCAGTATTTCATGTGTAAATGTTCACTATAAATGAAGATGGGGGGTGGGGGGTAAAGAACCCAAACAAATTTTATTACATTGTTATTTACGTTTCTTTTTCATGTTTTTACAGATCATATTTGTTAAATGTATTTTTTTTGTTTGTGTGTTTTTTACATTTTTATAATGCTGGCAGAAAGTCAATATCAATGTTATAGCATCCTTTTTCACTACAGTAGCTTAGGAAACGTGTCTTTAAATACATTTGGTTTTATATTTTTAGAGGTCCTGGAAACTTTTATTGAATATTTTAAACAATCATAAACCAACAATACTGGTAAAATTATGTACGCTCAGAAATATCAAATGTTATTATGAAACTGGTTAACAAGACTTTTTTAAATATTTTAAAGTATTTCTCTGGTTATATTTAGATATTACTAAACTTATAGGGCATTGTATGTTTTTATGACAGTCATTTGTTTAAACTTCTTACATATTGATTTCATTACGTACTTAATGATAAGAGAAAAGGATTTTTAATAGTATCGTTCTCAAGCTTTTTTTCTCTCAGTAATCTAGGGAAATCATCATTAGCTAGCAGGGAAACTTTATGTTGTTGTGTTCTTGTCTAAGTTTTTATATGTTTGTTTTGTGAGATTTAATTGATAGGACTGAATGGGAAAATCTTGTTTATTTATATTTTTGTACGGTATTGATATATCAAAATTTAGTTTAAAAGAAAAACCTTTTCGGACAATTCTAACAGAACTTAATTTTTAGTTAGCAGTTTATTATTAGTTTCTTGTAAATGGTTACAAATACATAGTTTCATATGTTTTCATTTCCAAGATTTTTTTTTTTTTTTTTATGTATAAGATGTTAGAATGTATGTCTAAATGATCTCAGAGAAGTAAGGACTGATGATATATTCTATAACAAAATAGATCACTGTTCAAACTTCATTATGAAAGGGGTGGCAGTACTGTGATATGTGACGCTAAACGATAAAATTTTGATGAAAAAGAAAATTGGGTGTTTAACTGGAGCCTCTGGCCAAATATTGTGTGTTTTAGTCTGAGAACATGATGTGTTCAATTTGTGAAAAAACGTTTTGTTGTAATAATGTGTCGACACTGTGTTCAATTTTATGAACATTATGCTGCTATGTTTGAGGTTTAAACAAATTTTCTGAACACATAGTGTGCAGTGAAAAATACACAGTATTCTGGTCATCGAAGAATAGACTCAAATGATTCCAACTCTGTGATTGAATATATAAGACAAATCGATAAAGAATTGAAGTGCCCGTCATATATACCTCGTTGTTTTCGTGTCTTAGTTTTAATTTAGTTAAATTGATTTTTATAAGGGAAAAAATAATCTGTGGAATACTTGAGATTATTATTGAAACAATTTTTTCTTTCTTTTTTTTTTCTTTTAGTAATTTTATTTATAATATAGCCATCTAAGCAAATTTTTTGTTATTATTTTTCAAATTCTTTAAATTTGAGGTTGTAAAGCATGTAATAAATTTGGAGATAACCTTCACTAGTCAGTATATTAAGTGTTTATTTTGAGGGAATATTGCAAGGGGACATACTGCTTGTGCTTCCTACAGATTATAATGTTCATGTTTTATAACTGCACATTTGTCAGAATGTCTGGTCTATAAATGCTTATGTGACAAAAAAGTGTTCTTGTATTGAAAAAAATATGTTTTCTTAAATATCATTCATGACTAACTTAAATCGCTTAGATATATTTAGAAAATAATTACTGAAAATATATAAAAAAGGTCATCAAAAAAAAAAGTGATTAAAAAACTGTCATTGTTGTAAACATGAAGATGTAGATTTTGAAACACTCAGCAAATGTTCATTATAATTTGTTATTTTAAAAGGGCATGTGATCTTTTTATGTTATGTTTTTTGAAAATTGTTTGAATTCATGTTAAATCCAGGTGTAAACTATTCTAGACAAGTGTATTACAGAGCTAAGAAAATAACATTGAGGAAAAAAAAGTAATTGAATAACTAAAGGTTCTTTGTTAATACATTTTTGTCTAGTATAGTTTTCCTTATGAAATCTCTACAGCAGTACATTGGGTATAGATAGTTGATCTCATGTGTGGATAATGTGTTCTAAGAAATCCAACATTCCATGCACCTGTGTTCATATTTTTGTACTAAGAGACTGATACCATCTGGTAAAAGATGTAAAACAAATATGTATATGAACTTTGGGGTTTTGGAACTAATTTTATTTTGGGAAAAATATACAGTTGCCAATGTGATTGGAGTCTTCAGTTCTGTAGAAAAGCTAAAATTTAAATTTTTGTTTTCAAATTTGGAGTAATGGTAATGGTTACAAACATTCTGAAGAGTATAATAGAACTTGAGACATAATTGCATGTCGTGTGTTTTGTCTTGTAAAGTTAAATATCTGCTGTAGAGTCAGTCTGTCTTGAGGTTTGGTCTTCAGTAACACTTTTGTTCGGATATTTCGCAGCAGGAACCAAATGGGAACCAAACTTCAAGACAGGCTGTGATGGTGAAGGTCTGAATTGCATTCCACAATTGCATAGCTCAAAATGTTTTTAAAGTGTGCTACATTTTTATGTTAACTGAATTACTACAATGTTTTTTCAGTGAATGGGTTTTATTATGCAGGGGCACAGGAAAGCCCAGTATGCTCTTTAGCCAGAGAACCATTGGTTTATTTATTTTAATTTTTTTAGCTTATTACTAAAATATGTGCAGAACAACTTAGAATTGTGATACAGTAAAGTGAAGAAAAGCTCTGTAACGAAAACAAACCTTCTCTGGCTAGGGAAACATACTAACATGTGTGTGGTTTGCAATATTTTTTGATAAGAATCAAGAAAAAATGGAATAGTTCAAAATTTTCTACTTTTCGGAATTTAGTAGAACTATTCGAAAAAAAAGTGCAATAGAAGTAAAAAAAAAATCATCAGAAGGATGGCTTATATTTTATATTTTGAATAAGGAGATGAAGTAAAGGTTGTTTTCACCATGATTAATGGGAGATTATTTTGTTTATACTGTTATACTGGGGGCAATGGTTATTGTAAATAGTATATGACCTATTTAGATTACAAGTAAATTTTTCTTACAACATATGTACAGAGACCAAATTGATCAAAGTACAAACAATGTCTCAGTAAAACAGTATGAGTATGTTTTATGAATTTTGGCTCCAGGGCCTTCAAGTTTTGTGCCAGTTTCTCCCTGTAGTGGGCATATGTAAAATGTCTCAGGGCCAGGATGCATATGTACTTTCTGCATTTTGTAAATTGATAAAACTTGTTAAAAAGAGAAAATTTAAATAAAAAGTGCCATCAATGAAGTTCCTTTGTTGTTATTTCATGGTTTGTACTGTATCTACTAGATAGGAAGTAAAATGTTATTTTTATCAAGTATGACGTCAGAAAGCTGTTTATTTGTTAATAAGTCGTGTACAGCACTAGGCAGTGTTCCAGGTATATTACGCAATAACCAGGAAAAGAATCCGGTCATACCAGTCATGTGGGAAATTGTGATAGAAACAGATGTACGTTACTAGCACACGCCTGCTCTATTATTCCTCACATGACGCCAGCATTTCCTGTAAAATTATCCAATCAATACTTGGAAATATCCACAAAAGTATATCAATTTATTTACAATAACTTGGTGTAATTCAAGAATTGGACTTCCTATCATTTCAAGTCAACGATGCATAAAAATTGATGTCTGTCTCGTAGTGTCATTTCAGATAGATTTTGGTTAGCATCAAACTAGACCTGGTTAATGATATTTTTCCATGGAACAGAACCTGCCGCCGTGCGTTCTATAACTGGATCAGCTTATGATAATGGGCATATAGGGGGCATAGTGATATTGTGCAATATAAGAGTACATGATCGAGGAAGTGTGTTTACGAAAATAGTTAAGAAATTTTAAAAAACAGGGGTATAATTCTAACTTAAAAAAGTATACCATATACGGTAGTGATAATAATTTAAAATATAGTAAAATTGACCTCTTCATTGAGTCATAAGACCTCAAAAATCATTGGTTTAAAACGCGGAAGAGGAACTCAAATAACGAAATACGTAGTTTTGACAGTTTAATACTATGTTTATGATAAAGATATTTAATGTTAATTGACATGTTACGAAGTGCGATACCGTCATCCCGCGTTCATCCCGACGGCTTGATTATTTACCAAAATTCAAATAAAAAATAATTACTCATCGGCTGATAGCCTGGCGGCCTTACAGACGGTCAAATTATTTTACACTATGCTCCGAGGCTACACTTGCACATTTTATGGATTGGGGGTCTTATCGTGAAGACAAATATGAGCCGCGTCACGACAAAGCCAAGATAGTGCGTTTGCGACCAGCATGATTCCAGACCAGCCTGCGCATCCGCGCAGTCTGATCAGGATCCATGCTGTTCGCTATCAGTTTCTCTACTTGTAATAAGGGTTGGTAAGCGAACAGCATGGATCCTGATCAGACTGCGCGGATGCGCAGGCTGGTCTGGATCCATGCTGGTCGCAAACCCATTATGTTGGTTTTGTCATGGCACGGCTCATATTATAATAAACAGTATATTATATGAAGCGTCTTAACTTAAAACAGTTTGGACTCGTATCAAAGACATAAACAGATCCGTTAGATATTCCTCGGAAGTTATACACTTCAAGTGGTGCTATTTGGGCAACGTGTAAATTGGTTAGGATGGTAGATTCCTTATTTGTTTTCAATATATTTACATTCGCGAGAGGGATTATAAAGGTCAATAAGGAGTAGTCATTGACCTTGCTTAGAATTTCTGGTGGTCACCATCAGAATTTAAGCGACATGTTGATTATTGACGCGAATAAAGTCACATAATGATTTCTCTAGCACAACACGGTATTACATAATGAAATGAATGAAAAAACAGTGAGCTTGATATAAATCACAACTTATCATTATTTTCCTTAGTAATTCAAGAAATTTCAGAGAAATATGCTAAAATTAAGCCGTCATCAATATAAATTCTGGTCAGACTACATGTCGGATTGGACGGCCTGTTCTATATTTGTGCCTGTAAGCAAGTCATTTTAAGAGTTATTTTATACATTGAATTGCTAGTGTCAAGTTCATTAAAAGGCATATCAAGTAGAATTAATTTCAAAATAATGACATATATGCTTGATCTTAAGTTTAATGCTGTACTTAAATTTTGAAAACAGCCCGGCTTTATTTAGCTTTAATATGTTATGTCTCTATAAAGCACACGTTTAAACTAATTAATTAATTTATTTATTTACTTATTTATTTATTTAATAAAACAAAGGCCAGTAGTTTGGCAGCAGGACTCCCGTTTTGGTAGGCATTGAGCTAGTAAACTTTACTGACCAAATAGTATATGATAGAAAATATTAAAAAGGCAGGACCATAATTATCAGACACCTATCACTTCATTACTCACGTACCCGTCCGTTGTCGTCAACAGAAGGTGTACCGATGGGTAGAGTAATGAACGTACAAAACTGTTGCAGGTTCGGTTTGATTGAGTCTGTTCATGAACGGTAATGGTAAGTGCAAGTTACGGTCCACGCCCCACAGCACCGGCTTAAGCAGTTTTGAAATGTTTTGCTACATCCGCAGAAGTGCTTGGCAATTACGAGAGAACTGGGGGGAACGAGTCCTTCGTATACAAATTATTTACTTTTTGATGCCATTTCGTCAGCATTTACACTTAACCACGGACTTTAATTGACAATTTAAATCCGTGACTTAACGAAACTTATAAGTACTCCGACCAAGTTTTTATTATATTGTGTTAGAATTACTATAACTAGTCTAAGTCGATACTGTATAAACTTTAATCATAGTATCATCATTTTATAATAGTAAATGCATTTTACAATAACTCAAACTTAACAGAAAATCAGTAACTGAGATCACCATTGTAAAAAAAATCAAATACCTTCAAGTTTAGAATATATTTTGAAAACCGGAGTTTTCCTGCAAGTTTGAAATCGGAGTACTTATAAGTTTCGTTAAGTATATATTGTCTCGACTTTTATTAACATTAGCTTTGGTCTTTATTATACTATTATCTGACGAATATTTCACATTTATCAAAGAATTGTCGATATAGTTAATTATATACAAAACCGGTAAATGATCAAATTATGTATAAATAAATTCAAATAATTCAAAATAATTATACAGCAGGACTGTTTTCACTGAGCAAATTACAACCGTATTTTTAGATACATGTACGTTTGCAGTAATCACTTGCCTATTTTGTGAATATTTTAGACGACGCCTGCACGCGTTTGGAGATTTAAATCTGCCTCGTGACCGACTCCGTCACGAGGAGTTTCCTGTTGCTGATGCTGTATTCTGATAGGTAAATGAGCCGCGTCATGACAAAACCAACATAGTGCGTTTGGGACCAGCATGGATCCAGACCAGCCTGCGCATCCGCGCAGTCTGATCAGGATCCATGCTGTTCGCTATCAGTTTTGCTACTTGTAATAGAGTTTGAAAGCGAACAGCATGGATCCTGATCAGACTGCGCGGATGCGCAGGCTGGTCTGGATCCATGCTGGTCGCAAAACCATAATGTTGGTTTTGTCGTGACGCGGCTCAAATTAATGTTACTATCTTAAGTTTATTTTACTCAGAGGCACCTGTTTTAAAGGTAGAATAAATAGCGCTGCAGCACATTTGATGCCATAAATATACAAATCAACATGCATGTATCTATTGATGTTCGATCGATCTCGATTTTTTGTTGTTTATTTTGTTTAATTTATTAGTTTGAATGACTATCTAATTGGCTTCCAGAGCTATAACTAAACACTACTTTTGTCTTATGCTGAGACCAATACAGTTGAGCCCTCGTTAAGAAATATATGCGGTTGGGAAATATCAAATTTATATTATTAAAAAAACACGTTCCGCCTACATCCGCTGTTTCAGTTTAGTAATGTCATTTGAAACCACACGGCGACTACAGGATCTTAAATCCCTGTGACAAAATCCCCCAAAGTTGGATATATCATCCGAAGAAAAAATGTGTTGTTTTCTCGTACATTCTCTGGAATGAGGGATCGGGGTTACACACGTACAGACTGGTGCGTTGTAGAAGGGGTGTCACTCACCCAACTTGTAAATGATTACTTTGCCCAACTTGTAAACGATTACTTCACACACAGTTAAACAAAAATCTATTTTGTCAACAGAATATAGTGACATGGCCTTCACTTATTTCTTATCAGGTCAGCAAAATGTCGAAAAGGCCACATTGACATGTCTTGCCTGATATTGTGGTCAGATCCGTGTTTACTAATACTTAGGTATATAGTTAAATCTCTACTTCAAAACAATTCTACTAGATTCAATTTTTAAAATAAAGAACATAAACACTAAGTTCTGCACGGATTATTTTTTATTATTTCTTATTCTATTAGATTTCAAGTACTGTTTTTCTTTACATTTTAAAGTACATTTTGTACTTGTATTGTACACAATGAATTTAGCTTCTTTGATAAACAAAATTGATGTACAATAATTTAAGATTGACGAATCGCGTAAGAACAGTCTGTGAATTAAATTGTAAGAGAAATTATCAGAGAGAAAAATAATCAAGTCAGGCCATGTCTGTGTAATAAACAGCTTATTATTGATTTAAATAAATATTTGCAGAACAGCACGAACTATTTTGTACCTTCCCGCGTCGACAGGCTAAATTAGTGCCAGAAAAGCATGCAATACGGTGCTATGTTAAGAAGGTTGCTCGATCTGAGCTATAGGCAGTTTTAACATTAAATTTTCATGCAAGTCGAATTTGTCTGTTGAGATAAAAATGACTTTTGCAGTTCTTTGTAGATTAATATTTAGCATTGATTAACAAATGCATAATGGGTATAATTATATAAGAAAAATAATTATGTTTGTAACATATGACTGTTATATAATATCTTTTATATAATATCTTGTTAAGCAATGTTGATTCAAAATTGTACATAATATGAAATATGTGCAATAAAACAGTTAAAACAAAGAAACAAAACGTTTTCTTTCTTGTGGTGTTCAGGCAAAATGAAAACTGTTCGGAAGATACAGGATACAGGAGTACGGTTTTGTGCTATCTTCTCTTGAATTTGATTTTTTAGAAGGCGACTCTGAAACAAGGTCGACAGGCTCACAATCCCACAACCCTCATTATTTAGCTAATATATATTCAAAGATCTTGCAAAGTGTATAAAAAGAGCTCACAACTTTACAAAAAAAAAAAACAACAATTTTTCGCTTATATAATTCTAAAATAATTACTCATCAGCTGATAGCCTGG